TGGATTTTACACCCAGAATTAAAGCCTGACTTCATGAAGGACAACAAGGGTTTACAAATGGTGAATCGTACTACACACCGAGCAAATCATGCGTCTGCCTCCACCTCTAATGGGTCTGATCCATTCAAGAACTTCACAGCGAATCCAGCTGAACTCATGAATGAGTTTATGTCGTACCTTCAAGGCAAGAAAGGAGGGGCTGGAATTGACCGTGCATACAATATAGGAGAAGGGAACTCGACGGCATTGCTCGGAAAGTTTGAGGGTTTCTTGGTAGACACGAAACCCGTACCCCAATAAAACATGCAAGGTATCATGAAAGCCTTTAAAACTGCTATTAAAATAAATATGTTGCATGATTTTTGGGTTGTAGATTCGTGTGCCACAGATCATATGACTAACCATGTGTCTAAGTCTCAAAAGTTTGAAAAATTCACTAATCCATCCCAAGTTTCAATTGCAAATGGTGAGAGTGTAAAGGTTTTAGGAAAGGAAAAAATAAAAAATAATGTCAGATGAAATTGAATCAATGGCCTTGTATGTACCTTCCTTCCCATTTCAACTTCTATCTGTGGGAAAGATCACAAATACCTTGAATTGCTTAGCTATATTTTCTCCTCACAATGTCATCTTTCAGGATTGTGCTACCAAGAAGACGATTGGTGAAGGGTTTTATTTAGAAGGTCTCTATTACATATCAAAAAGCAATCCCAAAGGGTTACAAGCCAAGTTCAATCCCATTCAAGATAATCAATTGTGGCATCAACGTTTAGCTCACCCTTTTCCACCCATTTTGTCAACTCTATTTCCAAACTTAGGGAAGGATGCTATTTCATGTGAAACATGCCACTTGTCTAAGGCCACTAGATTATCTTTTAACTCTTCCTTGTCCAGGGCTAGTAAGCGTTTTGAACTAGTTCATTCATATGTATGGGGACCAACTAGTGAATCTTTTTATGGTTATAAGTATTTTGTGATCTTTGTTGATGATTTCTCTCGTGTCAGGTGATAGTATCTTCTAAAGTGTAAGAATGAAGTTATGGAAGTATTTAAGGACTTTCATAACCTTGTTAAAAACCATTTCTCCTCTCAAATTCAAACCTTAAGGTCTGACAATGGCACCGAATATATGTCCCATATCATGAAACAATATTTAAGCACTCATGGCATCATGCATCAAAAAAGTTGTGTTGGCACACCTCAACAAAATGGTGTAACCGAACGCAAAACCCGTGACCTACTTGAAAAAACAAGAGCACTAATGCTACAAATGAATGTACCAAAGAGATTTTGGTCCCAAGGGGCTATGGCAGCTGCTTATATCATCAATAGATTGCCCAGCTGAGTCTTGGAATTCAAGTCTCCCCTAGAGGTCATGAAAGGAAGTAAAATTGATTTCTCACACCTTCGAGTTTTTGGCTGCATCTGTTTTGTGCATATTCAATCTCATCATCGAGATAAATTGGATCCTAGAGCTGTTAAATGTATTTTTCTTGGTTATTCATCTACACAAAAGGGATATAAGTGTTATAATCCTCAACTAAGGAGATTGATTGTGTCCAAAGATGTTCGATCCGATGAAACTAATCATTTTTTCAGCAAGTCACATGAAATCACAAGTCAAAGGGATGACATCTTGGATGTGTTCCAACTACCAAGAATCGAACTTGAGGCTCCTCAACAACAAGATCCCAGTCATGTCAACATTGATGCATCTCTCAATGAAAGTAGCAATGAAGGGTCTCACTCTGATGGTACACGGCATGAAGATGGTGATAATCAAGATGACCCTCACAATATGGTCCAAAATGTGAACGAGTGTGAGACAACTCTTCCCCCTCCTCGATGCAATCTAATGTGTGTTAGGAAAACTCCCACAAGATTTCAAGACTTTGTCATCTACAAACCCACACATCCCATCTCCCATTGTGTGTCGTACAAGAGAGTGACACCATCCCATGTTGCATTCCTAAGCACCATATCAAGTTACAATGAGCCTCAGAATTTCCATGAGGCCAACAACCAAGAGGTTTGGAAAGAAGCAATGCAAGAAGAACTTAAAGCCCTAGATCAACACAACACCTGGAGTATCACCAAACTTCCCATAGACAAGAAAGCCGTGGGTTACAAATGGATTTATAAACTCAAATTCAAGTCAGATGGATCAATTGAGAGGCATAAAGCAAGATGGGTAGCTCGGGGATTCACTCAAACATACGAGGTGGATTACAAAGAAACGTTTGCACCTGTTGCCAAAATGAACACCGTGAGAGTGCTATTGTCCGTGGCAGTAAACAAGGGGTGGTCCATGTACTAAATGGACGTGAAGAATGCATTCTTGCATGAAGATCTCAAAGAAGAGGTCTATATGAAATTGCCACCAGGGCATCCTCAAAGCAATGAATCGAATTTGGTGTGCAAATTGCACAAATCCATTTATGGCCTGAAATAGTCTCCACGAGCTTGGTATGCCAAACTAAGCTCATTTCTTACTAGTGTTGGTTTCATAAGCAGCAATGCCGATTCATCATTATTTGTTCGCACAGGAGCTGTGGGCAAATTGGTTGTGCTGATCTATGTTGATGATCTGATAATTACGGGTGATAATGCTGATGAGATCCTCAACCTCAAACAGTCCCTCAGACAAAGGTTTGCAATTAAAGACCTTGGGATATTGAAGTACTTCCTTGGTATAGAAGTGGCAACCTTGCACAAGGGGCTGTTTCTTAACCAAAGAAAGTATGTCTTGGATTTGCTCAAGGAAGCCAACATGAGCGATGCTAAATCGGCCATTACTCCTCACGACAACAAGCACAAACCTAGCTTGAAGGGCACGCCACTCACGGATATCAGCTATTATCAGCGATTAGTGGGTAAGTTAATCTACCTAACAATCATTAGACCCGACATCACATATTCTGTAAGTCTTGTGAGCCAATTCATGCACTCCCCGACTCTTGAGCATTTGACCCTTGTTAAAAGGATCTTACGCTACTTAAAAGGATCAATGGGTCGTGGAATCCTCATGCAGAAGAATGACAACACACAAATCATGGGATATTGTGATGCTGATTGGGCGGGGAACGCCAACGATCGCAAGTCCACAACTGGCTATTGTACTTTTGTTGGTGGAAACTTGGTCACATGGAAAAGTAAGAAGCAAACTGTTATCGCTAGGTCAAGTGCCGAAGCTGAGTATTGTGCCATGGCGTCAACTGCGTGTGAGTTGATCTAGCTCAAGGGTCTTCTGTGCGATTTAGGTGTTCCTACAACTTTTCCTATGTCCTTATTTTGTGACAATCAGGCAGCCATGCATATAGCATCAAACCCAGTGTTTCACGAGCAGACGAAACACATTGAAGTTGACTGCCATTACGTTCGGGAACAGGTGCAGTCGCAGATGATTCAGACACATTATACAAGAAGCTTCGACCAACTGGCCGACATCTTCACAAAGCCTTTGGCTTCATCAGTTTCAGCGACTTCTGTCCAAGCTTGGATCCATAAACCTCCTGGATCTAGCTTGATGGGGCGTAGATAAGTCTAGTTTATCTTTGTGCTGTCACCTTTTATCTTTGTGCTATCACCTTTTGTCTTTGTGCTATCACCTTTTGTCGATTGTCAATTCCTTAAGGCACCATTTGTCGGTTGTCTTCCCTAAGCCACCTTTTGTGGCGTAAATCAAGGAGTCAATCTCCTTATATATTTCTGTACAATTGTAATGATCTTATGATAAAAATACAATACATACTTTTGAAAATCAACAATATGATTTGATTAAGTTAAAGTTAATTTTGGCGGTTCTACTTGATGATTACGATTAGGATAATCTTATGGCTAGTTGTATTTCTTTGTTTTTGATCCTGTAGTTTGAAAGTTGCATCTACCATTATACGCATACTATCGTGCTATCTTTTGCCCGATTACTGTTGGATGCTAAACCATTTCTGGGTTGAGCAAGAAGGAATGCAGCAACAGCACTAAGAATGTAACGGCTAGTTTGTTTAAGAATGTAACGGCTAGTTAGTCTTTAGTGATAGTTTTTTACAAGTGTAAGACTTAGATTAAAAGCTCCAATGAAGGGCTAAGATTAACTTTGTACTATCAGGGTTGGTAAGCTTTTGTCAGCTAACTCCAATGGAAATAAGGGCTGACTGTGCGCACCTAAAAACCCTACTGATGTCATATATATATGAAATGCTATGAGCTGCTGCAATTGCAAACATTGTAGCCGACGTTCCCTTCCCAAATTATGTGCAATCATCATCATTCTCAAAACCTAAAACCTTTCCAAAACAATCATACAAAATATCAACTTTATAAAACACTAACAATTACTGTTAGCCTTTGGCCAATTCAAAACTAGCTTAATTTTTTCATTGTATTAGAGGCTGCTGCTATTCCAGTTGCACGGCGTTGTAACACTACAACAAAACTTACCTTCCATAGCACTTATTGATAGCGCTTTACACTGAAAATGCAATTATATAGCTCTTTACATCATTTAATCGCATATTAAGAAGTTTATTATAGCGTTCATAGGCATAATGCTATTCAAAATAAATAAATAAAACATAAACATATTTTATAATTTTCTTATAAAAAGAGAAAACTTGTTTAAAAACCAAAACTCTTCGCGTAAAAGTAAACTCGCTATTTCTTTTTCTTTTTTGTCAAAGTAAAACTCGTTTTCTTTTTTTTTCCCATTCAATTCCCAAAATCACTTTCCCAAATTGCGATCATCATTCGAATCTTAGAGTTTTTGTAAAATCTCACATCATCTAGGGATGAGGATCCTGTAAGTCTTAAATGTATATTCTCGATTCTTTTATATTTATAAGTCTTATCCATCCTTTGTTTCATTCAATTTAATTATATTATTTCTTTTAGTGTTAGTTGTATGCTCTGAACACGTTCCTTAAATGCATATTCATTATTCTTTTATATTTATAAGTCTTATTTATTTCTTATTCTCAGCATTTGCATTCAATAAATGACTTTCGTCACCCTCAGATGTTGACTAGCACGTGCCTATCCTGGTGTTCGTGGAATATCGGAATCGAGGCATGTCAATTTTGAAATCACAAGCTCCATGGAAGCCTCATGCTCAATTTCATCTCCAACTTTTGAAATCGAAAGCACGATCCCCAATTCCGCAACCGAGTTTGCAATTGCATGTACGTATCAACTCCTCCTTTTCACTAATATCCGGCTTCGTTCTTCTTTTCTGATTGGTTTATGGCAATGTACGATTGAATTGGTTTATGGCAAATAATGTATGAATGAGTTGCTAGTTTTGTTAATGCTTGCATTTGTACCCATTTGTGGTTTCTTTGTCGAGTTTTTATTGGATTGTCATGTTTTGAAAGCGATTCAATTTGCATGGGCAGATTTGGGGAATGCAAAAAGAAAACAATCTTGCTAAAATTGCTATGTGTCTATTTTTTTAGCTGTAGCATTTGTAAACAAACCTCATTTGCTCATCAATTTTCTGTTTTGTTTATAATGGAGTAAAATAAAGACCTAACCCGTTTTTCCAATTAATCCTTGGTTCAGTTATGTGATTAATCCTTGGTACAGTCTGACCCCACTTAACGGGATAACACTTAGTTGTGGTTGTTGTTGTTGTTGTTGTTGTTCAGTTGTGTGATAAATGTGAAAATTTGGTGCTCACTTTAAGCTTAAGAACGTTCCCTTACACTCGAGGTTCCGAGTTACGACTCTTGTGTTGGATTTGAAACCCTTTAGGACACAGGCAAGACCCATTTTGTTTACATGATTCCATTTGGCGAGGGGATTAGTGTTTAATCTTGTTGACATTGTAAAGGTACATCATGTTACTTTCAATCACTTGTATCTAAATGGACTGCCATTTGAGGTAAATATTCTTGTAGCCAATTCTCAATTAAGGTACATTCTGCATAAAAACCTTTAAATGCTAAAAACCCAGTTTATGTAAAGGTATATCTTGTTACATTCTGCCTTCGATCACTATTAATTCACAACTTCATAACTTGAAATCGTTAATATTTTTACAGCTTTCAAGTTATGACGTTGTGAAGTTCTCTTTTCTTGATTCAGTACATATGTTTCTATTATTGATCTGCTTCAACATTCAAGTTTGACTTTGATTTATGATCATGCAAATGACTTGCTTCAATATTTTTACCTATCACTAAAGTGAGGTTATTGCTGTCAATTGTACTGTTTTTTTGCTTTTATGGTCATGCAATTGATGACCTTACTTTTGGTAAGCTTTTTTTTCTAATACAGTTTCATGAACAAAAGGATCAAGTGACAGTTAAGCGATTTTTGCGGGTTGAATCTTTGGATGCAGAGCACCCGGGTCATGTAAGTTGCTTATTTGATGGTACTTGTGTTTCCATCCAGTAGAGAATATTTTTCTTTTCCTGTATTGACCTTATAGTTTAGAGTCTCTATAAACTGAACGGACATGTGCATATGCACAATCTTTTGGTTTGTTCTGTTTTACAGAAGGAGTGGAGGGAGAAATACTTGGCTCGGCAACAGGTTGAAGCAGTAAATTCAGTATGTATGCTAAGTAATCAGCCATTGCTAAAGGTAATTAGCTAAGCTTGCCCTTCTATTCTTTTGGTGTTCATCTGAGTTCCTTATTCTTGTATGCATGCTAAGCGTTCAGCTATAACTAGAACTAGAAGAAGACATAGTAGATGAATGAGTTATAAGAAGTATTATGTGATTCATACTGAAACTGTCACAAAATCCTGCTGCTTGTTTTAATTCCACACAGATTTGGTCATGTTTTGGAATTTTGCCCCGGTTGTTTCCTTTTTTCTTCAGTTTTCTTTGAGCAAAAAATATCTACTTATGCTTATTATATTTGTGCTATATTTTTAGGGATTTTCATCATTGAGTGACTTTGATTCTTATTACAGTGAAGGATGAAAGTGGAGATGCCAGCAGCGGTCAAAGGGCAGAGAAGAAAGAGTAACCATATTTGCTTTCAGTTTTCTTGTAAAAATTTGAGAAATCATATGGTTGTAAATGATGATTGGTGATATGAAAGAAATAAAATTGTGTTCTTGGTTAAATTAGGATTGCCGAAGTGACATGTGATTGCATAACTATTCAAAAACTGCTATAGATGTTTCCTATATTCTGCCAAATGCTATGAATTGTGTAAAAAATGCTATAAAAAGCTACTATAGCATTTGTTAAATGCTATGAAAAGTTTACTGTAGCATTTTAGAATTGCTACAGTAATTTTTTTTTCCATAGCATTTTTAGATGCCACTAGAAAATGTACTCGCGTTTTGCTACGACAATTGAATGTATTATACATGACTAGTTTTTACACAAAATAACTAAAATGATGATACATTACCTAAGTACCAATGAAGTGATACTTCGCTTGCTATACTTTGCTTTCTACACTATCACTTGTTTTTGGTTGACGATAGTTTGCTTTTCAGTGATGCTACAGTCGCAGATGTACGCTATGGAATTGAAACGAATCTTTGGGGTATATGAAGCAGCATCAGGCCAGAATCCAGATGATAAATTTCTATAAATCTGCAGTTTGTTTTAGTACTACACACCTGTTGAAGTTCGGGAACAAATGCGACCTCTGTCGGGTGTTCCTTGCCATGAGAGATTTCTGGGACTTCCTACTTGCTTAGAGAAGGATAGCGCGGAAAAGAAGTGTTGACTGAAGCAATGTGGCAAGCTATACCCTCTTATACAATGTGTATTTTAATTACCGGTGAGTATATGTTGAGATATTGAGCAGATTATTGCTCGTTATTGGTGGATGAATGGTACGGTCGTGGTATCCATCAGAAAGCATTTGACACTTTGTGGATAATGGTAATCACTGTTCAAAAAATTCTTTCCTAGCGCCGCTTAGGCCCCGTCTAGGCGCTAGGCGGCTGACCACAGTCCCGATTAATGCATAGACGTTTGAAAATTAAGAAAGATCGCCTAGACCTGCTGAGACGCCTGCCTAAACCGTCTAAGCATCTGCCGAGACCTGCCTAGGTCGTGACTCACTTAGGCAGAAAATAGATAACTTTCATTTTGCATTTTATTTTTTAAAATAAATTGCAAGAGATTTGTTGCACACTAAAATTAACACACATTATATCCTTGTTCCCCATGTTTTCATTATGTTCAAATACTTCATAATATAATTTCATTTTATTTTGTAATTTATGATGAAATTATACATATATATATATATATATATATTATATTAAGCATAATCATTTACTTATTTACACGAAATATAATAGATTGACTTAAATTTGTCTAGTCCGCCTAACCGGCCGTCCGACTAGCGTCTTTTAGAACTTTTGCGAGCCAATATATTATATTAGCAAACTGATGATGGGACCAAAGAAAATGTGCATTACCCATTCGCGATTAAAATTGATTCAGAACGTGACTATATAGAATCAATAAACCGTTAATCAAGGTCTTCATAGCATATGCTGTCATAAAAATATCTACTGACCTCTACCAGCACCTATGTAACTCCAAAACAATGCTTTCAGTTACTACTTTTCTAGTCGAGAACCTTGCAGAAACTTATGCATGTAAAGAAGTGGGTACTTCACTACTTCAACTGCAATGTTAGAGGTCACTCGTATGGATGCTTTATCGATCAGTTTGACAGGATTAGCAATTTAGCAATGATAAATAACGATTTTTAAGAACAATTAACTGCAAAAACATAAGAGAATTGCTAGACTCACCCGTTGTCTTATTTTCCCACCCACGTTATATTTACACCCACTATAAAAAGTTAAAAAATTAAAATGTTATTTTCTCACCCATTATTATTCCTAAAATAACCCTTACTATATATATGTGTGTGTGTATAAAATTAGAAGAAAAGGGATGAACTGGTGTTCCAAACAGATGAACAGCCGCAGGGATCAAAAAGAAGAAAAGGGCAAACAAAAGAACTCCCAACACAACACCTCCAACAAATGCCAGGAATTCTCATAGGAAAACGTAAAACAAATTGCACACTAACCTAATGAAAATGAATTACAGGAATTCTCATAGGAAAATGTGAAACAAATTGCACCCTAACCTAATGCAAATTCAAATAAAAAGTCACGGAGCTATGCTTCAATTATACAATGTCGACAAATCAAGATGACCCACATAAAATTATCTTTTACCTATTCGACGGAAACATAATCATCTACTTTTCCATAGAAACATCATCTTCTAAGTTCATTCTTTTTGTTTTCTCTGAATGAAAGGAGATGAGAATGATAAGTTAGGGTTTAAGGGAGACAAATCATCTAAACATAGCATGAGAGTTATCACGCCCAAACTTTTCTTTTTTACTTTTTTATAAAAAAAAAGTAATGCAAAAGGGGTAACTAAGGTCCTTATTAATCATTTTAAAAATTCATAAATTTGTAATTAAAAAATTCATAAAAAGGTGGGTGAAAAGGTAAAACATTGGGGGTGAGAGTAACAACCCTCAAACATAAACAACTAAATAAATAAATACAATGTCTAAAATGCACCTGCCAATAGTAGAATACGCAGGTAAATTACAGCAGCTAGTAGAAACGAGAATTATCAATCTCAATCAGATCAGCAAATACACCTATAAATTGGACAAAAATATTGGCATGCCCTTGACTGCCCCGTCGTCCCATTCGGTGGGAAAAGGTCGCAAGACAAGCGCGACAGATGGACACCAGCCGCTGCAAACAACGTACTATTATACCTAAAATAACCAAACAGCTTCAGCCACAGCCTGCCCGACCCATAACAACTTGAGGAGGCGGAGGAGATGATTAGATCGTTGGCCACGTCGGTTCCGACGTACGACCTCGCCATTACGACTGAGAAATCAAGAGTGGTCTTGTTCATCTTGCTTACATAGATGGGAGGCAACGGCGCCATTCCCAGCTTGAGATTGCTGTCGCTTTCCTTGTCGTCGCCGTAGAAGATTTCGGCCCGAAGGTTCTCGTAGTACAAGTCCAGCTTCCGGTTGGGGTTTATGGCGACCAGCGTCAGGTCCCACGTGGCGGTTAAGTACTCGCTGCTGGAGGTGGCGATGAGTGGGCACGGCGACACGGCTACCAAGTCGACCCGGAACTCAGGGAATTCAGGGCTGAGCTCCGCGTCTTGCAATTCCGCCCACACGTAGGCTGTCACGAGAATGATTGCCGATAGCGCGGCGAAGCATAATAAAACAATTTTACAAAGCCGTCCGTCGCAGGAAGATTTTGCCATTCCCATTCGATCTGTTAATTCACTATCCTATAGCCTTATTCTGCAGAATCGATCAGACCAACCGAAGGAGAGAGAGAGAGAGAGAGAGAGAGAGAGAGAGAGAGAGAGAGAGAGAGATGGTGATGGGATTAAAGCAGAGGGTGTTGTGCATGTAAATAGGTAGGTGTTTCCAAAGCCTAAAGTCGCAAGGATTTTTTCCAGTTCCAGTTGAACTCGGAGTTTACTGTTTACCCAACATGACCACTCTATTTTTATAAACCTGTTTTGGACCAATTTTAAATAATCTAGTCCTACCAATTTTAATACGCTTGATACCTGTTTATTTATTCTTTCTAAAACGTTAATATAATTAGTCAGGTTGCTCTCTCTGTCCTCTTGCGAATCTAGCTAGGTATCGTTCGCAAATCTACTTCTCGTTGATATCACACAATCGTTTCAAATATATTCAAAATCTTACTTAAATAGACACTGATGAATCCATATTATACTATATATTTTATCCTAATCTTAGTTATAATTTATTAGTTTATTTTGGTGAATTGTGATACTTTGTTATGTATTTTCAATGTAGAACATTCGACATCTTCTGGAGCAAAAAGTGATCAAATGGATGAATTTTGGAGTGATTCCAACTGAAGGATGTTCGTGAGCCTTTTAAGATGATTGTATCAAAGTTTTTACCAAACCGTTTAACCGTGACAATGAAACAAATACCCCGCGCGCAACGTTTCTGTACGTTTTGGGTATTTTGAAGGTCAATATGGCATATTTTGAGGATTTGTTAGGGACGTCTCAAGCTTCAAAAAGAGATATTTTGGGACCAAATTAGAGTTGATTTGGTCGGTTAAAAGTTTGATTTTCTGAGAAGTCCGAATTTCAGTTTAAATAGGAAACCTTTTATTTCCTAGTTATCTTATTCTATTATGTTTCCTAGTTTTTTGAAGACCTTTTCTAAGTAGAATTTTATTTTGTAATAGTATAAATAAGGCTATTTAGCCATTAGGAGGGGGATGAATTTGGAGAGACGCATTAACTTACGAGCTTTTGCCAATTCAAGTTTATTTTCAAGGTGTTTTTTATTTATGTTCTTAATAATATTTTGTTTTATAATTATTCGTAACTAGTTTCGTTTGCTAGGACGAGGTCACGAGCCTTAGCAACAATATGTAGTTTCTTTTCAATTTACTTATGATGTTATGCATGCAGGTTTTGAATTATTAATCAATGTGTTTATATTATCTAATTGTCTTGATGATTGACCACCATTTGGATATTTAGAAAAGTAATAGGTAGGTGTTTAGCATGTAAATAGGTAGGTGTTTCCAAAGCCTAAAGTCGCAAGGATTTCCAGTTCCAGTTGAACTCGGAGTTTGCTGTCTACCCATCATGACCGCACTCTATACGGTCTCGCTGTTTGGCAGCTAGTATAACATTGACAAGACACTGGATAGTATTAGTATTACGCATTCAATTTTGTAAATTAGCAACAGGATTAAATTAGGGTTGGGTAAATTGGCCACTGGATTAGATTAGGGTCGGCCCACGGGTTGGATTGGGTCGGTTTTGGGCCAAAACTGAAACCAAACCAACCTAATTGGTTGGGCCAAATTTTTTTTGTCAATTGGTACGTGACCGGGAACACGATATCTTTTATGTAGTACGTCCAATATACCAAACCGGTG